ATCTAATGGACAGTGATTTGGACAAAATGATGGAACAAATGCCGGATGGAATCGAGGAGTCCCTGTGCGCTGAGATGATGCGCCAGTCGGTCACTGGGTTGGCCTATTTGCACGGACAGCGTGTGGCGCACCTGGACATCAAACCGCCAAATATTGTCCACAAGTTTCTCGGAGTCGACGGAAAGAATATTTTGTTCAAATTGACTGACTTTGGGCTCTCAGTCACCTTCAAAGAGGGCCGCAGAATGAAAGTCGAATCGCTGGGAACGGGAACCGAGGACTTGCTGTCGCCGGAGATGGCCAGGGATGACGACGAGTACATCGACGCCGAGCCCTGCGATGTCTACTCCCTGGGCATGACTTTGGCCGCGGCGCTGATGGGTTGGGATACCTTTGACGACAACTGCGAAAAGGCCTCAATTAAGGATGTATTCCTGCAATTAGGTCTGGGAAAGGGTTTACCCGCCGGTGCTGTCGCTCCCCCGCACCCAATCAGTAGACGCATGGCTCGTCTGGTCTACGATATGCTGCGTACAAAAGCATCCAGGAGAATAACAGTGCCTCAACTACAGGCCCACCCGAAGCTCCAATAAATGAGACAAAAATTTAGTAAAAATTAGTCAAAAGCTTGAATTAAGATTAAAAGCAATTACAAAGTATTTGTGTATTTTTATTGTTAATTTGCATAAGCATGCAATAATTATTTGGTTGTCGTAAGAGACTAACAATTAAATGAACACTGAATCGATTGGTTAACCATTAAATATAGAAAAGTAATGAATATTTGTTCAAATAATTTGTGGAATGAATGGTTAAATGGAAACACATTTTTGGTCACAATTAAGTAGAAATCTAATAGTTTTAGTAATGAATGAATGAATGATTCATTAAAATATACACCAATTGTGATGCAAATGTATTTATAATGTTAAACCAAATAAAATTCAATACAAATACCGTAAATAATTTTAATACAATTAACTTACAGTACGAGTGTTAGTATTGTACTTAACTTTATTATTTGAGCAAAAATTAATTCAATTGAATATTCAAATTATGGTACAATTACCGTAATCACATAATTTATATATCATAATAAAAAGTACTTAAATTATTCGTATATTTAAGGCAATTAAAAAATTATATATAAACCATTTGTCACGATAAATATAAAATTATTTCCAAAATTATATACTTTAACAAAAATCTCAATTGCAAACACAATTAACTAAAGCTAAGGCTATTCTAGTCTACAAAGTGTGAGAACTCTATGTTTTGAACATTTATTTCATAGACTTTTCTAAATGTTATTTTCAATAGTAATTGTAATCATTTGTACAAAAAGACTAAATTTCTTAAATTATTAGAGGGTTTAGTGATTAGAGTTCATCTTTTACTGGTTGTCTATCGGGAATATCCTTATAATCGGAGTTCACTATAATGTGGTGATAATAGTTGACTGTTTTGATATAGTTGTCAACAGTTATGCGTTCGTTATGTCCATGAAATCTATCAAATCATAAACAATTCATATGTTAATCATGTGTCCAAACAATTGGCATTCAATTTGTTATACCTTTTGGTGTCTTCAGGGAATAAAACGGACGGTGAGAACCGATATATGGCTGACGTTAAGGATTGATACCATCTAATGATTGTATGAATTGGTCATTAAAATCAAACAAATAATACTTCAATTCATGTGAAACCTGGTGTCAGTGTTGGCTAACATAATTCCGGGCACTACCACTGTATCATTGAATACTTGTCTAATACTTCTTCTGATTATTTGATACCCGAATGCGTTGTCATCGTATGGGGAGATGGGATGTGGATGTATGGGAACGCCTTCAATGGCCAGCTCTATGCGGTCGTCGCTAATGAGTCGGCGATCAAAGTCAAGCACTTCATCGACGGTTTGCTTGACATGAATGCGATGATTGACATAAGCGGTGGCTGAGCTGGGTAATACA